ACCAGAGGTGCTGCTCTGTAACATGATGGTTTAGAGAGTCTCCTATTTTATAAGCTATTACATCAATAGCATTCTCAACAGCAAGTGCATCTAGTGGCTGCAGTGCCTTTGCCAAGCATGAGCATATGGATCCAACTTGCAAACTTTTAATATGCAGGCATAGCTTTTGCAATGGAGTCCGTATGATTTCTGGTAACTCATTGAACTCCATAAACCTATTTTAGAGTAGCTTCAAATATATCCAAACAAGAAAACATATAAGATTCTCATTAAACATAGAAGTAGAAGTCATCCTCTTCACTAAAAACTTACCAAGACACCTAATCATGGTACTTTATGGTGACAGAGAACTTGATTTTGGAATGAGCCACTGTCGTGGAGATAGTATTCCGTCATGGTCTAACCACTCACTTTGTTCTCACCTTTGACGTAGAGACTTAGACTCCTTTTCTTCCCAATCACTTCACTAGTACTTCCAACACGCCAACACGACAGCTCTCTCTCATCTTCCCAGGGGCTCGTGTGTTTTCCAGTTACGTTTTCAGAGACCTGAGTCCGTGTCACGAAGTAGAATCACTCGTTATGTTTGAAAAATTCAGTCTCTGTGTGAGTCAACACGAACAAAATTTCAAAGATGAAAAATCAAGTCAGACATATCGAAATAGGAAGATAAGATGCTTCTCTAGTTACATCGTCTCCAGTGATGCAACTGAAGGTCCAGAGAAGAGAACATGGTTTGCTGACTAAATCTAACAAACGATTCTTCGAGTCATGAACTCTCTGAAATCATAAAGGAAAAAGATGTTAAAACTCTCTCCAAGAAATTAACCGCATGCCGCTTCTTAGCCTAACATATAGAGTTACAGATGCAGAAACTTGCAAACATAAAGCTAAATCTCACATCCTGGTTCAAAATCGAATATGAGTTATCACCTCGAAGGCATGCAAATGCTTATATATGTCACAAGAAGATGTTGCACAAAGCTGCCGATCCGCATTGTTATCGGCAATGTTGACAATTTAATTTGATTCTTATCCATTTTCATATCAGACAATACATCTCTGCTACAATAGTTACCTGCAATCCAAGCAATCAATTCAATACCAATAATTAATATAAAGAACAAATCTAATAAACAAAGTCATATAAAACAATTAGTAAGTAGTACCAATTGCCTCTGAATTCGGCCTTATGTACAGATTACTCAATGCTTTCCTTTCAATTGAAACAACAGCTGAAACTTCGTCATGTCGATATATTCCACTTGAGGACTCTTGTTATTGTCTCGTTCATTGAAACTGACCCATCATCAGATTTTCTAGGTGAAGAAGCAACTTTGTGAGGAACTACGCTTGGCTTAAGGTAATACATTGCTCGAGAAACCGACATTTACGCAAACAGGTTGTGTTGGTGCTAACTTCAATTTCGTAGACTTGTTCGAACAATGTGCTTAATAACTTCAATTTAGCCTATCTAGGTTTCGTAAGTACTACAAAGAATTAGGTGAAATTAAAAATTATATATTCCTTCTTCTTGTGAACTTGATTTCTGCTATGTAAGATGTTTTCCACTTCAGTCTAAGATCTGTTGCTTTTAGCTTCTGTTTGGTTTAATACTGTGATTTGGTTTCGTTTAGGGTTGAAATGGCGATCATACGGTTTTAGCATTAGAAGTGGAGCCTTGGAAATCCAGTTTTTTCTTTGTCATTCTCTAATCTTATATCCACCATTAAGTAGTTCTTGGAACAAAGAAGATCAAGCGTTTGAGCCCGCATGAGATCACCTTAATTCAAAACACAAACCACAAACAAATGAGATGTGAATAAATACAATCATAAAAAATGGAACTTGATATATTAATAAGAAGCAACAATCCATAAACCCTCAACCAACCTTAGTTATAACATACCATAGCAAATAAGCAACGTTTAACCAAATCGCATCATATATAATACTATGGATCAAGCTATTATACTAAGAATTGCAATACAAACATATCAGACCAAAATCTAGGAAAAAAGAATGAATAGAATCATAAAAAATGGAACTTTATATCACTAAGAAGTAAGTAACACATGTTCGACAAAGATCTTACAAAATGATCAGATATGAACCTGATGAATTGGTGGATACATTGAATTGGTGCAGACTGTGAATTCAAGGAGTTCGTAAACGCTATGCGGTATGTTCTTTAGGCAAGTCACTGAGATAAATACACAGAAAAAGGAAAAAAAAACTTGCGATTATGAATCTAATTCAAAACAGAAGACCATAAATAATATATATGGATGATTTTGATCTTCTTATTAAATGTAGAATTCATTCATAATTATCAATTTCTTGTTGAAGCTTCGCCTCCTCGTTTTGGAGCCTAGTACGAATCGGCTTTCCTTCTATGAAAACATAAAACCCAAAATCACGAAAACGAAAAGCATCATATCATATGTCGATTTAAAAAGGAAATAGTTAAGAAGAATATAATTAGCCCAACATTTAATAATAAGCTCACTTCTTTTCAAACAGTAAACCCAAGATAATAGGACAAAGCTTTAACAGAAAAAAATGATGTGGGACAAAGAAAAACTATTATTGGTTGGAAAATCTCAACTATATTAATCGAAATGTTTTAATTGGATGACGATCTTAAATTCTTAATAAGGTCAACCTGGAGAGACCTTTATTGTTTTTATTGTATTGATTATCGACCAATTATCCACAAAAATATTATTAAAAAATGCGTTGATAAAATTCATCCACGTATCACATTGTTAGTTTAAATTAGGTCGATTTTTTTTTCCATTCGAGGATAACCCAATGCAGTCGATTATATCGTGTGATACACTAAAACATTGACCAGATTTGTAGTTATGTTGTTGGTCATATAACCTATGTTTGAACCATGATAATCTGTTCTTTGATGTGGGTATTTGTATATTGATTTAGTTAGAATGTGTAGCCATATAACATGTTATAATAGGTGTACCTACCAAAAACAATATGGTCCACATGACGGTACATTAAAACAGTGACAAAATTAACATGGTGTTGGTCACATAACTTATGTTTGTTGTTGCATGTTACTAAATGTGTCAAAATGGATAAAAGTTAATGGATCAATCCAAACCAATCCAATCTATGGATATAATGAATGAGAAATTTGGATCTTAATGGATTAGTGAGTTTAATGAATTGGATTGAAATGATTATGTTAGAATAAATTAGTGGATTACTCATAACCAAACTAATAAAGAGTAAACATTCAAAATCAAATGTCTAAACAAAATATAACCAAATCAAATGTCTAAACCGATTTTAGTAAACAAAAGTAAACATGATTTAACTATTAAATCCATGAAATAAATTTTTCCTCCAAAACGTGATTCAACATTTTTCCGCAAAAAACGGGATTTTGTATTTTTCCGCCAAAAATATGATTCCATATTTTTCCGCCGAAACCGTGATTCCGAATTTTTCCGCCAAAATGTGAATTCGTGATTTTCCTGCCAAAAATTGATTCCACATTTCCCCGCCAAAAACGTGATTTCCTATTTTTCCCGTCAAAACCGTGATTCCACATTTTTCCGCCAAAAACATGATTCCACATTTTCCGCTAAAAACATAATTCATAATTTTCCCGCAAAAACGCAATTCAGCATTTTTCCGCCAAAAAGCAATTCGCATTTTCCCCTCCAAATACATAATTCCGTAATTTTCCCAGCAATTTCACATTTTTCCCGCCAAAAATATAATTCCGTAATTTTCTCCCCAAAAACGCTTTTCCGTATTTTCTCGCCAAAAAGCGATCCATATTTTCTCGCCAAAAACGTGATTCCGTATTCTCACCCACCCCCCCCTGCGAAAAACGTGATTCTAGATTTTTCCACGAAAACATGATTCCGTGATTTTCCCGTCAAAAACGTGATATCATAACTCATTTATGGCATTAAATATTATTTGTAATATTATATGATGATAATAATAATAATAAATTAATTAAATATTTCATTTTTATGGATCAACTCATTGAACCATTAAACCATCAAATAATTGGATTAATGGATTGACTCAATTCATTTAACAAATGAGTTAGATCAACTCATAAAACCATTTAAGACTAAATTCACTGGATTATGGATAGGTTTGAATCGGTTTATCAATTTTAACACCCCTACATGTTACCATGTAAATCTAAGTTTTTGGTTTGGGTATGGATACATTATTCTAATTGGCATGTGAAACAATGCAACGGGCTTTACTTGTTGTTAATCATTTTTTTTTGAATTAAATACAAGTTGATTATCATGCTTTATAGTTTATACTATGTACTTTTGTAAAACATATATAATATTCATATAAATTTTACAATCTTCACATATCAATTACATTTAACCCAAATATTTGTTTAATTTAGAACTACATTGAGCTTTAATTGATATTTTGTTTCTTTTTCCAATTTTTAAAATTATTTTATTTTTTAGAGTTTATGATTTTGTATGGACATAAGGTGTATAGAAAAAAATTAACTCTTAAGAAAACAAATCTATAGCTATTTTCTAAATGGGAATAGTTTATATTTTTATAAAAGAAAATAACAATATACTGTATAATGTTTTTGTGTGGTTTATAACTAATTTAAAAACATTTTTGTCAAGATATTTTTCCTTATGTATTGTTGTACATATATATATGAAGATATTCTTATAACTCTTAATTCATCACATATCAATTACTTTGGAAATACAATTAATTTCAATATTATATATATATTTCAAATTCTCTTTGTTTTCCTATATAAATTTAGAATTTATAATTGTAAGATATCCATATCAAAACTTTAACTAAATTGGCATACACAAAAGCAATATAAATGGTACTTGTGGAAGAAAATCTATAAATATTTTATAAGTAACTTATTAGGTTATATTTTCTAGATAATTTAAACTGGAAATAGCAATATATAATGTGGTTGCATTGTGTACAACTAATTCATAATTTTTGAGTCAAGAATGGGTTCTTTGTGTTGTTTGATGAATAAAATATCTTCAGAAGCTGAAAATGTTCAGAGAAAAGTAGGTGAAACCATGATCAATGACTTACCCGACGATTTGCTTGTGCAAATATTATTGCTTGTCCCAACAAAAGATGCAGTGGCTACCATGATTTTGTCAAAACGGTGGTTGTCTATCTGGACGATGATGTCAAAACTCAATTACAAAGACAACAAAAAAATTATTGATAGTGAATGCAAAAGTGTTTGGCAGTTTTTGGATAAGTCATTGAAAATTCACAAGGCACCTGTATTAGAAAGTATATCTGTACATCTCGGTCGACAATGTCCTGTCGATGAAGATGTCGGAAAGTGGATTACAAATGTGATTGATCGCAAAGTATGCGAACTATTTTTTACGCTCAATTGGTCACCAAAACCTATCAAGTTGCCCGATAGCCTTTACACATGCCATACTCTCGTCCATTTGAGACTTTCCCGAAAGATTTTAGTGGAACTTGTTTCTCACTCTTATCTCCCATCACTTACGAGGCTTGATCTTAAGTGTGTCTTTTTTAAAGACGAAGATTCTCTAGTTAGACTTTTATCAGGTTGTCATAACCTCAAGGACTTATATGTGAAACGACATATTGAAGACAACGTGAAAAATTTCAAAGTGAAAGTATCTTCTTTAAAGTTCTTAGTGTATGTGTATGAAAAGAATCATAGTATAGAATATACTAGGGGGTCTTTGGTTATTGATTCTTATGCTCTAACTAAAGTCATCGTCTATGATAATTCGGGAGACTCTTGCACGATTGAAAACACACCTCACCTTGATAAAGCAAGTATATTTGTTATGTGTTACCCAGGTGGCAAGTTTATGTTCTCTTCGCTCATTTTTTTCGATGTACATTTGAACATAGCAACGGTACGTGTTGATATTTCTCTCACTGTCACTTTTGTTCCTAGTGGTTATATTTCAAACGATCACTTATGTAGTGATTATATTCATTGCAGGTTAAGTGTTGTACCACTATTAATTTCTCTCAGCTTGTAGAGTGTAGGATACAACCACGTAATTTTGATTGGTTGGAACCACTTATGGTTTTAGTTCAAAATTCTCCAAAACTAAAACTACTTCTTATTGACCAAGTTCGTACTCTTTCCATTATTTTAATCAAGCGCATGCAAATTTTGGTGGACTAAAACTGAAGTAAATGTTTTATTTTCTTGTATCTTACTAGAGCATCGGTATAATTGAGAATTTACCACTTTCTTGGAATCGTCCGAGTTATGTTCCTAAATGCTTGTTAACCCATCTCGAAATCTTTGAATGGAAAGAATATGGAGGAAGAAGCGAAGAGAAGGAACTCATAAGATACATCTGTAACACCCGCGTCCCGCGATCCTAAAGGGGGCCTGTTTGTTCTAGGGAAAACTAGATCATGGTCGAGAAAGACCAATGAATAAGTTAACCCAAGGAAGGAATGAAACGTTTAAGTCATGAAAAGGGTAGGTGACTTAGACGATATCGGGATAATCTAGTGATCGTGGAGAAATGATCATGGAAAGATTGGGAATGGCGTAGTCAAGGCCGAGAAAACGGACCGAAAGACTTAGCCGAAAAGAACGGACGAAACTGTCCGAGCTAATCTAGCTAGGTGAGCTGGATGAACTAGCTAGCTCAGCTAGGTGAACTAAACCAGCTGGAGGACTAGCTAGCTCAGCTAGGTGAGCTGAGCGGCAGCTCAACCGAGCTCGGTGAACTGATCGAGTACTGACCCAGCTGGGTGGTCCGGTCAGGTGACATTCGAGCTGGTAGACTATGGTAGCTCGGGATAAAGAGGTGTAAGGTCGAGCGGTTACCGATGAACGGTTACCGTTGGCCAAAGGGTGGATAAGGCCGAACGATTACGATCGGAAAGACGCAACCTTTCGGAAGGATGCAACGAACGGATGTGATGTTTTGGAAACACACCCATTTGCCCCCTATATAAGGGAGGACGCCCAAGACATCTCACAATCACCATCACAATCCAAAAAGAGTCCAAAACACACCTCGAAGTTGTTGGTCTGAAAGGGGGTGCGGCTCGGCGAGTATCTCCGGAATCGGAATGGATTCTCGGAGCCTCGACCGAACTGATGCGCATGCTACCTCCCGATCCAACGGTTTGATGGAATGTTTGGATGGATTGATCGGACCGATCGTCAGAGAGACGGATCGGAACAGATGGATCGTTCGTCGGAGAGACGGATCAGAACAGATGGATCGTTCGTCGGAGAGACGGGTCGGATCGGGTAAGATGGTTGGGTCGACCGAATGATCGGATCGTGGTATCGATCGATGGAACGACAATTCGATCAAGTAGTTGGATGGACGGAGTGTTCGACGATTCGATTGATGGTTCGGATCGATAGCTCGATTATGGGGTCGATGGATCGTCCGTTCTAGAAATCAGATCGTCGAGGGAAGGACACGAAAAGGAAATAGATCGGCAAATCTCAGATTGTCGATATGGAGGTATTGACGAATCCAAAGATAGACCGATGGAATGATAGGGTTAACGGGGAGTTAATCGGAAAGGTGTAGAAGGGAAAGGTGTTCGAGGAAGCACGAGGATAAGTGCAACCGAACACACCTAAGGGTCGCCCATAGATGCAATCTCACAGAGAAAGGGAGAAAGCACCGAGAATGGGTAAGGCACGTGATTCTCCACGTAAGGACCAAATATCGTGGCCGCCTTTATGAATCAAACGTCTCAGCCTTGGTGGATCCGATCAGAAATCGGTAAGACCTATGGTGACTCGACGGATAACCAACGGGAAAGTCCACGGTGAGAACCGATGGACAAAACGGATGTTGGACCCGCGAGCAAACCAATGGCCGACGGACGAATGATTTCATGGGCTAGCCTACGATAATCCGATGGATGAATCCACGGACCCTTGGGTGTGATAATGATATTGTTCGGATCGCATGGATGGATCGATAAGCCGAAGCTTATACCGACCACCATGGACCGGACGGGTAAACGGTTAATAAACCGTGGGCGGTCGTAGTGATAAACGACCGGATCGGAAACATGGATGGTTCGATAAGCCGAGGGCTTGGTTGTCCACCATGAAACCGAAGGGGCGTACGTTTGGAGGACGGATGGACCAATAAGCCAAGAGTTTGATTTGGCCACCGTAAACCAAGGAGAACGTACGATCCCCAATCTCTATCGTGGGACTTAGACCAGTGGGGTTGGTTGGTTGTATGGCTAAGTAACGATAGAGATTGGTCCATCAATACATGATCGGTTAAGAATCGTTGTATGAATGGAACAAGGTGACGAAAGGGCTAAGAGAAGGATCAATGGACGGATCGAAGAGGAATCCAATCCGCATGTAGGCCAAGGTATGTAAACGAATCTAACTTATTAGTTAAGATAGACGTTTGGGAATTGGCCGTTGGATTAAGGATAAAGGAATATGCAATCGTTAGACTTAGAATGGTTAGCGAACAAATTGCATGTCTTGGCCGAGTTAAAGATTGATCTAAAGTCTTTGGGACAAAGACGATCAAACCGGTACAAGGGATGGTTGGAATTAGACCAAGGGTAGAAAGACTTCCGCTGGGTAATAACAAAGCGATTATAGACTTAAGCCTAGTAAAGGCAATTCTATGTTAAATCGCGAAAAATATGGAGGTTCGGCCGGGAAGAGGCACGAACGTGAACCTTGGGTCGCCGGACGCCGAGACGTCCGGGACAGGGTCTCACAACATCCTTGTTAACTCTATGTGTTTAAAAAGAGTTTCACTCTCCATGAAATCAACTTGTGATCTTGAAGATAAAGAGAAGATGATGGACGAGTTAAAATCTATGCCGAGGATCTCAAATTCTTCTCAGCTTACTGACACTCTGCTAATTCTGAATTATTATTATTTAGCAAGGATTGGTTAATCCATCATAAACTTATATGCGCCATTTATTTTACAAATTTTTAAAACTAAGAGTTATTATTACATATTAGTCATAAACTAATTCAGTTTGCTATAATAGAATTGCTATTAAAAGAAATCAATTCTAGTGTTGCCATTCGTAAAATGAGGATATGATACTTTGGTAATGGTCGAGATCGCTCAGTTGGTAGGCATTCTTGCTAATTACTCTTGTATAGTTTTTTTTTTCTTTCTTCAAAATTGTTTTGAAACTATGACGTACTGTCTGTAGTTTAACGGTGATTACCTTTTGATCTCCCATGTACTCACGCTTCAATATTTCCCATACTTCGTGAGACGTACTCACAACAAAAATCCGTGACAAGATGCCCTCAGCCATGGTTGAAGAATGAGAAACAACGTCTTTGCATTTTATTGCGACTCTCCTGTAATTCCTTATTGGGTGTCGCTGGATTTTAAACTTCAAATTCATTCTCTCCTAAATCTCAAACCTCTTTGAGAAAAGTGCATTTGAAATATTTGGACTCTATTAGAATATGGGCTTCCAACTCAAAACCAATTGGCAATGAGTGGAGAGACCCATATATTTTATATACTAGTCAAGATCCCTTGTCCTTTCCAATGTGGGATAATATTATCCCTAATACGCCCCCTCGAGATGATGGCTCTAGCCATTGATCTCGGTATGCTTTGGCATGGATCAGCGGGCCAACTATTGGGCCGGACCGATGGTGGATTGGATTTGGACATGTACGGATCAGGCTCTGATACCATATTAGAATATGGGCTTCCAACTCAAAACCAATTGGCAATGAGTGGAGAGGCACATATATTTTATATACTATATTTTATATACTAGTCAAGATCCTTTGTCAAACATTTTTAGTAATGTAAGATGTTTTCTATCGTGGTTATGTCCGTGGTCTTATCATATCCTCGTCTTCATTTTTAGTAATTCATTTTTAGTAACCAGCTGCTGTAAAAGTTTCAAGTGGTTATGTCCGTGGTCTTATCATATCCTCGTCTTCCGCTTTAAGGTCTTCATCATAAATTGATTGGAGCTTCAAAATCGCATCAAACCAGATTAGCAACTTAATGTAGAGTTTGTTTCAGAGAGAACAGAACATTAACAAAAGGAATCTAGCATTTCAAAGAAAATGATTCGAGGCGAATAATCAGTGTCAAGAAACCACGGTCTTAACCATAAAATCCACATTATCAACATTATGGTATTGGCGCCGTCCTCAGCTTTGCTTCCGACCGGACCTGCTCCAAGACTAGTGCGTTTCTCCTTCTCTTTCATCGAACCAACAGATGTTCCTCAACGGGCGTACCACCAACCACTTCTTCTTGGCTCACACCAATCAACCACTTCTACTACAAAATCAGTCTCAGGATCACACAAAGGAGCAAAGTATATATCTTGATTGTGTAGACTCTTGATTCCCTGTTTCTGATTTTTGTATTTAAACATCCAAGACTTTGACGCCTTCCTTTTCTTCTTCATGTTTTGGCTGTCTTGGTGAAGAGACATTTTACCGAACAATTTAAATGCATAACTTTTATTTGATATTGTTGGCAATTTCCGAAAATTCTCAGCAGTTCCTGAAACTTCAGTGGTGTTGATGAGAAAGAAAGGCAACAACATCTTGGTGTGAATCAACTCCAGTTTCGTTTGCAGAACAACTTGAGACAAATTCTCTGCACAATCTTTCAGTTCCAGCTGCTGGATCAATTATGCATCACTGGCTAAACTATCATTTCTGTTCGACAAGAACAGATCACTAGATTCCAGACTAGGTTCCATAACTGAATCCATGGGATGAATATCGGCTTGTTCTTGAATCAATTGATTCTGTTCAATCCAAGAATATGTTTCACTCTCTTCTACGTTGAATCCAAACACTTTCCCATTATCCGAAAATTGTTCATCATCACAAGACTTAGCAACATCAATTTCTACCAAGTCTGAATCAATAAGGAATCGATCTTCATCATAATTGGTTTCACCAGTCTCTAATTCACAGCCAAATGAATTCGACAGCCACACATGACTCGATATCTCAACCCCAATTTCTTCAAATTCCATAGCATTAGAGAGATGATCTTCACTATCAATCATGAGAATACCTGAGTTCTTGTGTTGTAGATGATGATTCGGAATTTCTGGCTCTTTGCAAAACACACATAAACCCTTCAACCTTCTCTCGTCAATCTCTTCACATGAGATTCTCACACGACGATTGAAATCCGGTGACTCTGAAAGTTGCGGCGAGGCTGGATGAGCATTCGACTTGCAGATTCTCCTCCTCCTTGCTCCTTGATTGCAACCACAAGAGCAGAGCATGAATTCGTTCCCCGATCTTCGCATTCTGGTCTGCGATTGTCTCTTTCAATTTATCTATTCCCGAGCCAAAAGTTTCGTCAACTTCACGAACCATCATCCCCATGGAGGTGGTGAAGGGAGGGCTCCAATTGGTAGAAAAAAACCCGTAACCCCCTGGGGTTATCCTGCACTTAGAGACTTTGATTCTTCGTCGCCCTAGTAAATAGGAGAGAAAATCGAATTTCTTTTTTTGTCTTAAAAAATTAGGAGTTAATTAACGTTCACTAAAAAAACACCTTTTGTAGCAAAGCATTTATTAAGAAAAATAGAAAAGCTTAATACAAAGGCGGAAAAAGAAATTATAATAACTTGGTCCCGGGCATCCACCATTATACCCACAATGATTGGCCCTGCGAGAGAGATAGAGACGAGAGAACACGGCACAATTGCCAGAAATAAAAAGTTCATACGAAACTCGTCGGATTTCGCCATTGGAGAGACGAGAGACGAGAGACGCGAGAGAGAACACGTCTATTAAAAACTCTCAATAAATTTGAAGTTTATTTATTTACTTACAGGCATGGTTTATAATATTTACAAAATAACCTGTTTTTTAAAATAAATAAAAAGTTATAAACTACAGTAAAACCCAGTGCTAATACCCGATAATTCTTATTATCTCATCAAGAATGAAGTTACATCCACTATTGTGATGGATTTCTTGTTTTATGGGTTAAAGTCTCTTGAAGAAAAATGGAGAAAATTAGAAAGACTTGCAAGCGTGGTTGCGAGAGAATTGATGATCAGTAACCAAATTGAATCGGCTATGAAGACTCTTGAAGAGGAAACTAAGAAGGAGAGAACAAATGATGACAAAGAATTCGCTTTAAAGATCAAAGAAGACGAAACTAAGAATGAAAGAACAATTGATGCCAAAGAATTTCAAGCTCTAATTGCTAGTGTGACCAATGATATGTTTGTTCTTGTTAAAAATCCCATGTTACTTCTAGAGAGATTTGTTCTTGCGCCATTGCCTGAAATGGGTTCTCCAAAGCTTGTGCAGGTTAGTCTCCTATGGCTCAACGTCAATTATAAATTTTATTTGTGTTAGTAACGTTTTTTTGAAGAAATTTATTTCATGTGAAACTAGGTTGGCAATGTCCAAACACAGTATAATATGGAGCACGATGAGAAGCAATTAGCTGATTATGGTAGATGGGCTTTGGAGGTATTTGTTTTTGACTATATCTTCTGCAACAAAATTGAATTCACATATGAAGAAACTATTGCATTGGAAAGGCAAGAAGAGCTTATTCAGGAAGAAGAAAAAGAGAAGAACACTAAACTCAAAAAAAAACTTGTTGGAAAAAAAGTGAAGTAATTCTTTTTAGTCTTTTATTCCTAGGCTGTTAGACATTTTAATATAAGCTTTCTTGTTTTCAAGTATGTGATAAAAGATTATAGATATGGTGTTTGTGTTTGTGTTTCTTCTTTTTTTTTGTTTTTTTGGAACTGACAATTAGACTTGTTGCATTTAGTCAAAAAGGTTGTGATACAAATCAGTCCTAAAACAATTTGGCTAATTTTAACCAATGTTTTGTTGTGGATAGTATCAAATTAATAGTTTTGTTCAAAAAAAAAAAGTATCAAATTAATAAGGGTCATTTAGGTGAGTGACCAAAAAGATAAATGAAATTAAGAATATAGCACACTAATTTTAAAAACAAAGAGAATAACCATCAGATATAGAGAAATGACAAAAACACCCTTAAGTATAGCACACGTATATGTGCTAGTAAAGGTGATTTATTTTATTTATTTTTTCTTTTATTTTTGAATTTTTTTTTAATCCACCATCTCACATTTGTTTGGTACATAGCTTTTAAAATAAAATTAATTTAACTTTGTGATCCTATGTAAAAAAAAGTAGAATTTTTTCTGAATATGTCGTTGGTTGAATTATTTAAAACGGACATAAATTTTTAAAATAGTGAATAGTGTTTGTAACTAAAAATATGGTGTACTATACATAAGCACACAAAAATAGATATAGTACTATATTATTTCCTATATATTATACTTAAATCAACTTTTAACTCTAAAATACTAAACCCTAAATCCAAAAGTCTAAACCCGAATCTAAAATATATCTTTACAAACGGTATTAATAAATTTTAAAATTAAAATAATGAATTTATTTAGAAAAATTGAATAGAACATTTTAGTGTTCTATATAGTATGGTGACGATAACAAAGAATACAAAATAGTACGCATGCTAAAGAAGGAACACTATACCCTAAGTGATACAACATAGAGAACCCAAACGACAAAGTTAAACGCACAAAAAAAAATCATAACTTAAATACACAATATAGAAAACCCAATTTTTCGATAAGATGTTATACCTAAAAGATAACCAAATATCTTTAATTAAACGCATGTGAAAGTATCAATCCAAAGAGCAACCAAAGAGAGATCGAAATTTCAAATCTATCTTAAAAATATATACATTTTTTTCTGAATGAAACATAGTTTGAATTTTAACAATAGGATGTGAAAAAATTATAATAGTGAATAGTGTTTGTATTTAAATACAAGGCGTACTATATAGAATCTATATGAATAGAATGTTGTACTATACTATTTTCCACAATTCTAAATAAATAAATCTTTAACTTTAAATATTAAACCTAAGAACCTTCACTCAAACCAAAAACATATGTATAAAAAAGAGTGTTATACCCTAACAAATACAACATAGAGAACATAAAATGCTGAATTAAACGCACGACGAATAAAGAACGCTATACCCTATAAGGGATACAACATAGAGAACCCAAATGACCAAATTAAATGCATATCAAAGAAAGGAAGTAATACCCCTAAATAATACAACATATAAAACCCAATTTTTCGAGGTAAACACATGTCGAATAAGGGACATTATACCTATAAAATAACCTCACGCTATTGTTTTATTCTCGTGTTTTGTATAGTACAAAAATGTTTGTATTTATAATCATATTTTAGTTCGTTATAAATTTTTATCAAGTTTTTAAAAATTCATACAAAATAAGTCTTAAGTCTTTTTCTTTTAAAGAATCATGAACATAAATATATATGTTTTTAAGTGAGAATATGAAATCTGAAAATTTTGTGTGAAGATATTCAGTGCAAATATAAATGAAAGAATAAAAAAAAAACTGAAAGAAAAGAAGAGTGAAGAAAGGAGGGGAGGAGAAAACCGGTGTGAAGAAAAGAAAGTGTGACGTAAATGAGAGAGAGCAATGATAACTGTTAGTCATGCAACAAGGACATATTTGTCATTATTATAGATAGGCATGGGCAAATAAACCGAACCGAAACCGAAGAAAAAAACCGAACCGAACCAAAAATTTGAAAATAACCGAATAGATAGTAAATTTAATAACCGAAATAACCGTAATCGAATCATTACCGAACCGGAATATTTCGGGTAACCTAAATATCCGAAACACAATTATATTTTCAAAATAATTAGTTATTTATAGACCAAATAATCAAAAATACTTGAAAATATGTAAAAATAGTTAAAATACTCGAAAATAATCGAAATATATCCAAAAATATAAGAAAATACTCAAGAATAACCGAAATATCCGAAAATATCATAAGCAAAATAACCGAATGGATACTAAATTTTAAAACCGAAACAACCGGAACCGAACCGAAATTTTAAAATATCCGAATGGATACTAAATTTTGAAACCGAAAGAACCGAAACCGAATGGACCCAACCGATAATATAAAGTATATTGTAGGTTAATGGTTACTATGCTTATTTTGTTAAATAAAGTTGTTTTTTTGGTTATAGCCTCCAATTCCTTTTTTTTAAAATGAAATTACAAAATTTAAACAAATCATATAAAAAACTAGTTATAAATATAAACAAAGGGAGAATAAAAAAAGAAATAGAAAAAGAGAGAAATGATGGGAAGATGACTAAAGGGTAAAGCTGTCATTAATACACATAATACAAAGAATAACATAGATGCATGGTTAGTATGGTTAGTTGTTGAATTATAATTTTTTTGTTGGTTATAGAATGCAATTCCCCAATTAATAATGCATGAGAATAAAACTAACAAGAAGCCCATATTGGTCCAGAGTTTCTCTAGTCTCTTAGTACAAACCATAATTGAACCAGAACCTAAATACTCATTATGGCCAAACGGAAAATTAATGCTACATAGTTATAAATTTAAGGATAGGTTCAATTTTGTCACCTTTTCCTGCTCCTATAAAAGCTAAATCTATTGTTAGATTGCAATTTTTTTCATTTCTTTTTAAATCTTCCCTCACACGTCACACACTGCAAAACACTGAAATTATTTCTTAATTAGTGAAAAGCTTGGGATATGAATATATATTTATATTCTGTTGACAAAAAAAAAAAAAAAAAAAGAATTATTTTTCTTGTATTTATTTCTTTTTCAGTTCAGTTACCATATATAGTACATTGTTCCACCTGTCACAAGCAACATTTGCTTTCAAAAGCAAAGAGGCAATTTTTTCTCCATTTTCAATCTTCTTCTTCTCCAAATGGGTTCAACATCCATTGATGAAGATCTCGTTGAAGAGAGAGAAGAACTCATGGTGTCTTATAGTGAGAATAACAGTCGACCTATCATTAAAAAAGCTCACTTTTTAAAACCCTTTGTCACCTCCATTGATGGGTTTGAAGGTATTCTTCGTCCATCTCCTTCTCCTGAGTTAAAAGCTTCGTCTTTGTGTGTTTTCTTTCGTGGGTGGAGGTTACCCAACAAAAAGTTTCAGTTTTGGGCTAAAAAAATGGCAGCTTTACACAAACCCACTTGGTTAAAATCTGGGATTTTTGAAGCAATCAAAGCATCGACTTACAAAATCCACAAAAACCCGTCTTTGATTCTCTCTCTCGCTCAGAATTGGTGTCCTGAAACTAATACATTTGTGTTCCCTTGGGGTGAAGCAACCATAACCCTTGAAGATGTTAATGTGCTTTTGGGTTTTTCTATCTCTGGTTCTTCTGTGTTTGCTTCTCTTCAAAGCTCAGAAATGAAAGAAGCAGTGGAGAGACTAGAGAGACGAAAGGAGGAGTGTTTGAAGCAGGAATCATGGATTTCAAGCTTTGTAGATGATGAAATGGAGCATGAAGCGTTTCTAGTGTTATGGCTTTCGAAGTTTGTGTTTCCAGATAAGTTTGGCCGTTCGATTTTCAGTGATGTTTTCCCAATAGCTGTTCGTCTAGCTAGAGGTGAAAGGATTGCTTTAGCTCCTGCTGTTCTCGCAAACCTGTACAATGATTTGAGTCAAATCTGTGTTTTAGACTCTATGCAAAATGTTTATCTTGATTCTCTTTTTAAGCTTGTTCAAGTATGGATATGGGAGAGGTTCAAGAGTATAAGACCAGAAGCTAAGGTGATACCAAGGGGTCAACCTAGGATTGCTCAATGGAGTGGTCTGAAACAGAGATTTGAGAATGTGGGACTGATTATTTTTCATGGTAATTTTGATTGGCGTCCCTATAGTGAACCTTTGGAGAATTGGAACCCACCTCGGTTTTATGTTGAAGAAGCTAAGTGGGTGAGGATTGATGAGAGTCTATATGGTGATGATGATGATGATGATGATGATGATGATGATGATGATGAGTTTGTGTCTTTTGCTAGATGTGTGAGAGTGTCTAAGCTTGTTGGTATTGGTTTAGTAGAGAACTACTATCCAAATAGAGTGGCGATGCAATTCGGATTGGCGCAAGATCTTCCTGTTTGGGGTACTAATCATAGAAGAAACTTAACAGAACAAGAAGCATGGGATGATTACAACAAACCGCTTGCTGGTTTAAAGCTATACGTTCCTTCTCGCCTCGCCACAGCTTCGGTTACTGCAAGATACAGAGACTGGTGGGCGAAATCAGTTTCAGAAATGCGGAAAGAATCAACAGAAACTTTCAATGTAAGCAGTACAGTTGATCATTATGATGATAGTGATGATGATGTACCTCTTAAGGTAGTACCATTGAGCCAAGTCTATCAGAAGTTGGACGATGAAATGAAGAAAGCCAAGCATTCGACAAACAAGAGACGCAAGTTAGCTCTTGAGGATGATGAGAGTGCTGCTGAGACAGAAGATGATGAGAGTGCTGAGACAGAAGATGGTGAGAGTGCTGACACAGAAGAAGATGATGATAACATGACTGTTGCTCAGAGGATCAAATCTAGGAAGAAGTCTGGTGACATAGAGAATACAAGAAGTAGACTTGTGGTGGCGGATAACAGCGTTCCAGACCTTCCTCAAAAGATTGCTTCTGGAGATGAGACAGTAGCAACAAAAGAAACAGAGCAAAAGAATGATGAAAACAAGTCTTCTAATGGAGTAGCTGAGAAGGAAGAAGATGATGAGAGATTAAAACAGAGAAAGCTTGCAATAAAGGAGCTAGCTTTGAAGACGGAAGCACGAATGATGAAGGTAGAGACCACTTTGGCAAAGATTAGACAATGGAAACTTAGAAAGATTCACACCAAACCTCCAGTTTCTACTTAAGCTATATAATCAGAGAGTCAGAGACAAAAGCTTCTTTCTATGTGTGCAAAAATGATACTTTTCTTGGAATTAAATTTTCGTATTTAAGTTTTATACTTAACCCAAATCCACATTTCGTCTTCTTCTTCTTCTTCTTCTTCTTCTCCAATGATTGTTCTCTCAGTCTCAGTCTCACTCTCACTCACATCATTACCATTCTCTTACGCGCTTTCTCCGACTACGTGCAAACCACGTGCCTCTCCTCCACGTAGCACCGTCTCGTTAATTTCTTCCAGGAGACGACAGGATCGCCGCCGATCAATTGAGGCTGTGTCTCGTGATATCCATGGTTCCGATTTGTTGGAATTGGAAGATGAATCTGATTTCGAGAAGCTTCTCTCATCTGATAATCGGATCTCCATCGCTGGCTTCGGTTCTCTTCTCTCTGGTGCGTATACTTCTCTTTTCGTTTGTGTATTGATTGAGATCATGAATCACCGATAAATGATTGATTGCTTTTGTTCTTAATTAGAGAGAAGCGCGAGGAGTACATTTCCAGATTTGGAGAATTTCAGAATCGCGAAATTGCAAGGATTCCGACGAGTTTTCGCTCACTCCGCTCCCATCTTCTTCGAACTTGGGATCGCAAATCCTGAAACTAAGGTCGGATTCGATAATTGGTTATGTATTGAGAAAATGGAGTTTTTAGAAACTGATTATGAAACTTCTGTGAATGAATAATAATGGCAAAGCTTTATTAGAGATTATAGATATTATTTTGGAATTAGATATACAATTCTGAATGTGATGAATGAAACAGGAGATCTCAAGCTTGAGTGTTGAGCCATGTGAAGGAGAGAGCCTTGTGGTTACTGTCTTTGAGATCAAAAGCTCAGAGGTACCAAGAGATATCTCTGAAAACTGCTTCAATCTTTTGATACAAGTATATGTATAATCTTTGACGGTTTGATACATCAAAATACAGATTCCGGCTTTTATTCAAAGGGAGCTTGAATTCCGGTTTCTCGCTGTGAGTCACTACTTCCTCTTCTTCCTCTAGCTTCAAGATATGCCCTACTGTGTGTTACAATGTTCATTTTTTCCTTACATATAGGTTGTTCCTGAAACAATGGAAGGCAAACCGTACACCAATTCTGCGGTTCGTCTAGTTTAAACAAATCTTTGTTCTTAATGACATTTGTGCTGTTTGTTTACTCTTTGCCGAGTTTGAGTTTTTGAGGCATGAACAGGTACTTTGTGGTCGATACAGTGATGAGGAGTTCTTCCAGATTAGATGCAAAGGTTAGGTACTTCCAAGTCTATCTAAATGTCTCAAATTTTGAAGCTATTATAGGATTTATTCATTTGTTGTTTATCTGCAGGAAACAAAGAGATTTACTTTCAACATTATGGAAGATTCAACATCGAGAAGATTTGGCGGGACGACATCTTACCTTGTCGTCTCTATCTAAGACATTGGTACACTCTCCTCCTTACTACAGTTCTTATCCAACTTTAGAGCTAAATGATCAATTAACAAACCATCAACCATAACTTGTTTCAAATAAATTGAGAGAAACAAGTGTTGCCCGAAACAACAACTAATTATACTGTTGCACCACAACCTTGTTCTTGAATTAGCTCTGAATAATTTTTGGTACTTGGATGGGAAATTTGATGGTTTTCTGCTGGAACTTGATTAAAGATTCTTATATGTTGAAGATCTCCTGTGTTTTGCAGTGTGTTGGCTGCTAAAAACCTAGGAGATGAAGCTTACAATAACTTTCTGGATCATACGTTCTTGGGAGATCGAAAAACGACCATCAGAGAGTATTTAAGCAGCACAGGGTCTGGTATCATGGAAGAAGAACCACCAGAGGCTCTCAAGTCTAGATATGGAGGTTGATCAAAAGCCGAAAACTTTTAAAAGATGATTTTTCTATCAAACAAACTTCAAACGTTACAAATAAAAATGAACTTGTAGGTTTTAAATGTTTAATTGTTATCGAAGCTGGTTAAAAGAATATAGAAAGAAGAAAAATCAATAAATGTCCCACATCGGGAGTTTTAGAGAAGGGTAGTGTTTCTTTGGGCTATATAAAGGAATGAGTTTTGTCATTTTATGTAACCCGTTTCTGTCAGAGGTGAAGGATGATCCGTCAATGATCGTTTAGAGACGGCGGATCGTGCCGACACAGAATTTGACGAACATAATTATTAAGGCGAGTGGGCCTTGCCTTACTTTGGTTGGGCCTGCCCGTCAATTTTTGGAAGCCTCGATATCCCAATCGAGGTTCTACCCATACCAAACGAGATAAGACTTTTCTGAGAACTGAGAAGCTTCACCTAACCGAATCAAAATTAAAATGAACCAGAACTTTGGGCTTTGATATAATAAGCTTAACCTAACCAGATCAACCCAATTAAATTGAACCATATTTAAACCAAATTTGATGTGAAATTCAAGTGGAGGCTATTGTTTGAGAATTAGATCATCACAATAAAGGTCTGATAAGTGTTGAATGGTGAGCAACAATCACATTCACAGCCAAAAAAATCTGCTATTCCATTAATATCTCTCTACATTTGAAGAAAAAACATGTAAACTCTGTGTATAAATATTTATAATGTACAGTTGATGATGATAATGAAGCTGGAGGAGCTCATGAAGAGTGTGGATCACACTCGAGCTCAGTAATTAAGAGTTCCATCATCTTTTTATACATTGGCATATAATGATCATTTATCATTGTTCTCGATAGCCTAATCTTTCTGTACAGTTCTCTTGGCGTCTCATATATCCTTACATGCTCCACCGTAGTTGTTGTTCCGACCACCCCCACTTCGTCACGCTCTGTTTCAGACTCTGTCTCAGTTACAGACACTATGTGCATTATCTTACCCGGCGGGTAAAACCGCTGGTTCTCTATCAAGTCCATTGAAGATGCTGAAACCGGACTCTGGTTCTGTCCTGCGGTTGAATCGCCCCCGCCAGTAATGACAGTCTCTTCCTCTGTTATCTCCTTTGCTGCTGCCGCTTCTTCCTCCATGGCTTCACTGTCTCTTTCGTTCTCCTGTCGAGTCAACTCTTTGTCCAGTTCGTCCCATAGCTCACCTTCTGTCACGTCTTCTTCTATTGAAGATGTTTCAGCGATGACTTGGTCAATTGAGATCAACGGCTCTTCCTCTTCTTCTTCGTCTGGTTCATCGCGATCAGATTCACTGCTGCTTGAAGAACTATGTTCTATTCTCTTGTGACATTTACGGTCTATCACTACAGTTTCAGCCACTAGAGCTTCAGTGCTTCTTCTTTCAGGCATAATAGCTGATGCTTCCGGCAAGTCTGTGACTTTGGAGTTAAGCTGAGAGCTAATAGCTCTACGGCGTGGTCCTATGCAAGACCAAGACGAGAGAGTTGAACGGGTCTGCACAACGGCTTGCGCTACATCCTGCGCACGCTTTAGCATGACCTGAACAAATTTTCCAGCATTAATCATCATCAAGACAAAAGAAACACCTGCCCATGAATCTATACATTTAATTGTTCCACATATATCCATTCACTCAAAAAGCCGCAACCTTTTTTTCTCATGATATTATTTGCATTGTGGACCACAGATTCTACCTGAGTGCCGCTTGAGACAGGCCGAAGAATCGCCCCAGCACCAGCCACTTTTGCTTTCGCACTGGCTATAGAGGGCAAACGAGACCCTATAGCAGTTGCAGACCGATAAACAACACTAAGGACCCTGGTGTGTTCAACCTGATCACGCAAGTCATTTGACCATGAGGACGAGGTTACCTAACAGAAAATACACAAAATAAGGATCTTATCTTTGTCAAAAATGAGTGTACATATAATACTTTACAAGAAACTTTGAACCATGGTTTGCAAAAGTGGATATAAACTGGAGAACCATGGATGGGAAGAACCCACAGAAATCAAAATTAAGAGTTAATACCAAAGTGTCCATTTTCCATTGAACACTTGTGGGAAAAACTTTGGTCAACTAGCCAAATAGTGAAAATATCTAAGATGCCTGGAAAGACTGAATCATTTAGCAGGGGAAAGATATACATTTTATCTCTACGGCAGTACCAAGTTAAAAATGCAGGCTTGCATCCACTATTTAATATACCAAGCTTAACAATGTTAGCAATATATTGTACCACTACAGAATCAGGAAAATTTATTCTAATGGTGGCAGAGATAAATCCTGTGAATGTAGCATCACATATAGGCAAAGCAGGTCACATACCTCAGAACGAAGGTCATCGACTGAAGCAGCAGAGAATGTTGGGACTAGATCAGATCCATTGATAATAGTAGTAATGAATTGCTTGCCTGATTCTGCTAAATCCCAAGTCATACAAGCAGCTGCGAGTTGTTCAATTTGAAATTCAGTGCATAGTAACAATTTTTAATTTATACACACAGAACTAATTGAGATATAAAGAGTTCAGGATCAAAATTAAGGGAGAGGAGCAGATAACAAAACGCAAGAAAACACCACCATTAATCCTTAAATTGGGAGTACCTGGTGCAAAAGTGAAACAAGTAGCTGAGGAAAACTCTTTTTGCTCCCGAAGAATATACGTTAAAAGTGAAGCCGTCCCACCTCCAAGAGAATGACCTACAATCTGAAACAAAATATGCTCTTTAGATTCGAATAATTCGATACAGTAATAAAGGACTTCCTATTTCAACAGTGAAATTCTCAAGACAAAATGCGTAGCATTTAAAAAGTATCAATAATCTCTCTAAAACGGATTTCTAAATGAATTAAGATTCGCACGTGGGAATTAATTAAATTGACTCTGACGTTTGAACATTATGTCATCTGCAGTTTGATTAGTGTGACAGATGCCTACATAATGTCCTAGAATCCAAATGGGAAAAGTAATTCTATCTTCACGATCTGAATTATCACATAAGTAAACAACATACTTTTTTCTAGGTCATCTACATCTATTGGTATATAATCTATAGCAGTCATAACGAGACAAAGAATTAGTAAAAACAGAAAACGTAATAGTAATCTGTAAATCAGGAATGTATCGCTAACAGAGCATTTACCTGAACCTTGAAACTAGGATTCTCATCAAGGGCCTTGAGGAGGCAAGGAACACTAAGTTTAGCAATCCATCGAGCTGCAGCAACCATTCCACAGTGTGCATAACCTAAAACTAAGTTGCTTAGCCCACCATCATGCAAAACTGAATGATGGAAAGGGACCACTGCACCAGTTGCTGCTGTTAATGTATCTTTAATGCTATGAGTGCCACGGATCAAAAGCAGGAGACATTTTGAATTGGTATCTCGTATAATCGTGAAGGCAGGCTGCATAATCTGCAGCGTTCCCAAATTCAATTGTTTATGGTTCCGGATATAAACGAAAACAACAAAAAAGAACTCAAAAGTATAAAATATTAAACCAAACAAAACACTTGCACTGAGATCTAATCAAGCTTCCCCTTTTCTTTTAGTTTCCACTTGACCAGCATGATAGCCAATTTATCAAATATACAATTCAACGGATAAAACTCTTTGTAACAAATTAGGTCCAAATTTTAATACAAGAACAGCACTGAAGATCAACCATTATGGGGAATATATACTGTTATAAAAATATCTATGAGACAAACTCTTGTTAGCCTCCCAAAATATATGTTCCCAAGAGAAGCTATCCATAAAGTAAGAATATAGAGTGCTTCAAAAAAGGATTTCTAGTCTGGACAAGAAAGCATCAAGTCACTATAAACAAGCTAAACACGAGTAATAGCAGTCAAAGAAAAATCACACTGAAATGACCTACCCCTGCTTTAGGCTTCTGAAGAAGGACATCTTCATGAGTATAACCAGCAGTCTCCAGAAACACGGCAAATGGCTTCTTGGAGAAGAGCATACAGAGGGTCAAAAATCTCAGTAACTCCGTCAACTCCATGATAATCTCTGGTCCTTTTAACTCTATACAATTACTTCCAGCATAAACACTAGCAGTTGGAAAGTTCCCCTGAAAAAAAAACGCAAACATACAATGTCACTAGCTACACACCAAATTGGCCAATGAATCTGACAAAAAAAAACTCTGCATTGAAACAGCGGAAATAGTGACCACATCACTATTCACTAGTCATAGATTACAAGTGTAAATTTTTCCCACATGCAAAATAACCAAACAACCATCCTACACTGAAATGAACAGAGCTCAAATATGTCTTATTAGGAAAGTAAACGATATAGGACTCAGAATATCCCCACCAAAAATATGAAAGAACACAGAGTAAACTAGAATTTCTATTAAGTCACAGAACATATATATACCAAAAGATCAAATCAAGTTCGCTAATTTATGCAACCAATTTACAGATGAAAACTGAAAAAATTCAAACCCAGAAGAGGTAAAAAGGTCAAACCTGCCTACGCATCAAATAGTTAATACCAAAAGCGAGATCGGCAATAGGCCATTTGCCCAGAGTCTCTGAATACGTAAACCGTAACGTCTCTGACAAAGTTGAAATAGTCTCAAGCCAAGTCGCCGGCGCTTGAGCCGGTCTTCTAACAATCCTCCTCCTTCCGGATCTCCCTGATTTACCCAATTCACCTCCTGAATCATCTTCCCCATTTCTCGCCCACACGATCCGACGGCTCAGTAAGTACAGAATCACCACTGCTCCCGTCGCCGTCACCATTACACCCGCCGCCATCTCCGATCCTCCTCCTCCTCCTCCTCCAATTTCACTCCTCAGCCGAATCTAGAAAACGTAATTCAGCGATTCGAAGATTTCTTCACGAATTTCGAAACTAATCATCAGAGATCCTTCATAATGCATGAATCGAAGCTCTGATTTCTCCAAAATTTCAATTCCGATTTGGGAATTCCCCGGGAACGTTGAGAGAGGAAAGCGAGAATCGTTATGATATCAAATGGATTCATGATTTTTTTTTTTACATTTTAAGGTTTAAAATTACTAAAAAGGACATGAATTCGTCGGCATCTACTCAGGTGAATCAAGGGTATTATCGTCATTGTAAGAGACAAGTAGGTAACCATTTAAGGTTAAGTTAAGAGGAAAGAAGAACGTTAGGAATAATATATAGATTTGTTCCTACGTAAAGCAATCCAATGATATTAACACTCTAATCAGGATTAGTGCACTAATCATTTATTCATATAACCTAAATAGTTAGCTCCACAAACCAGTTATAATCGAATTTATGTTAGAATATGAACACGATCAAACACGATTGCTTTTGAGTACACACAACTGTGTCTCTTGTTTATTGTATTAACAATTATATCCATTGCTTTCACGACTTTACTTCACATTTATATAAAACAACTAGACAATAATAACAACAAAATGAAGAACTTAATCTTTTTCTTTTATCTATATGACTTCTTGAGTCCATGAGTGACCAATGCGTTGTTAAACTAAAAATGGAACCTCATAATTTTCTTTTCCTTGTAAGATAACATAGTTTAACAACGAATGATAAATTTCATTAATCTTGTCCTTGTACACACAACATAATCTTGGCATAACTAGTGAAGGACATGTAACTAGAGTCTAGTGAGACGTTGGAGGGATTTAGTAAGGGAGGACTATTTGTTCCGAACAGCAATTTGGTGTAGACTTGGGTGTGAAGGAACGTGGGGTTTTAGTGGCGATATCGTAAACACCGTAGCCTTCACCATAGCCTTCACCGAGGAAATAGATGGAGTTAGGTTTTAGGCCCGGGAATGAGCTGGCTTTGACACAAAAAGGCTCGTTATTGCCGAGGAATATGCAGAGATCACCAATGTCTTCTGTGTAACACATGTTCATATCTTCCTCTTCTCTAAACACAATTGAATACTAACGACTTGTTCGCAGGGCTTTCAACATACCTACCAAGCAGAGCCAAGAAAAAGAAAGAACATGTTATAACATGAAACCGCAAAAGCAAACAGACAACCCTAACATGAAACCTCGTACCATTTGAGTAGGAAACGTTGTCCTGAGGGACACTCCACAAGCTCGTGTGTCCTGTAACAAGAATCGAAAAGCTGCAACTCGGAATGCGAAAACTGAGGAAGGTTATGAAATTTTAACTCATGGTACTGAGGTGTGGTGGATGGTAGACCAACCCAAGACCACAAGTGGTGGCCACCAGAACTTGGCATGTAGAACCTTTGATCTCTCTTGGAATACATCAACTTGGATTGCTCAAAATAATCGAATAATCTAGTAGACATAGCGAGGAGGAACCCTTTAGTTTCACGACCAGGCGTATATATACTCACAGGAACGTCCCATGTACTTGTCAGCAATAATGCAGTCTTCTTCTTCAGGAGAAGAGGACATTGCCACACCACTTACCATTTCAGTTTGAGAACCATTTAGACTAGGCCGAGGAGGCAGATCAATGATCTTGGGGTTTGATTTGGAGCACGAGGGATAGTTGCTGATTAGTATGTAATCAGGGGAGCTAAGATAAACTCCCCATCCATGGGAACTTCCCACTAGCCTAGACTTAATCAAATCTTTGGGAAGTGGCTTATCAACGATGGTGAAATACTCTTCCTTGGCCGGGTCAAACATGAGGAACTCTGTCATTTGGGCTTCTTCACCACAAGGGGTGGCACGATGCAGCAAAAAAGGGTTGGTGGTAGAGGAGGAGAACATCCTAAGGGTTTGGCATCTCTGTGGGAAGAGTAAGAAGTAGACATCAGAGAAGAAGATGAAGAAGAAGAAGAAGAAAACAGAGATTATACAAAAACTAGAGATTGAAGAGATTTACCAGAGCAAGTTTGCGGAGAGAGGACTTGGAAGAGAGGCTGAGAAGCAGAGACGACATAGCTTTGCTTTGATATGTATAAAATCAAAAAGAACAAAAGGGTTTTCGAGTTAGTCAACAATGAAGTCCCTTCTTGACTTGGTCTAAGACCAAAGTGCTTAGCCACAAGAAAAAAGGGTTTTCAATAATGTCTCGCTCTCTCCTTTTTTCCTCTGTTTCCATGTTTCTCCACTTTCCTTTTTCCCTTGCTATATAATCTTGTGACAATGGAAAAGAAAAATCTTGTAATCAAATTTGTACACAAGATTCTTTACTTTGCACCAAATATTTTTTCTTTCCTTTTACCTTATTGACTAATGTGAAAATCCCTTTGTTTCTTTTTGATTCATAGCAAAGTTATGTCGTCTCTGGTTCTCAGCCTCTCTTCCAAGCCCTCTCTCAGTAAACTTGCTCTGGTAAATCTTCTAGTTTTTTTTGTCTAATGTCTGTTTTCTTCTTCTTCTTCTGATTTCTACTCACTACAAAAAATATGAGCATTGATAGCACATTATAATAGCTCAGTTTTCGCAACTGCTATTGAAAATATAATGTTGGATGAGGTTATCATATGATAGCGTTTCAGAAATGCTAACCCCGAAAATGAGTAATCGGGGAACTAAATTTCAGTTGGTGAACCTAAAATCACTATTTGCGGCAGCACTTAGTCGAAAATATTTATACTTAGCAACCCATTTTTTTATTTATTGATAACGAACAAAAATAAAAATCACGCACTCTCACCTGTAACCCTAAGGAGGTGTATTGGAACTAGGATTTTAGAAAATTTTGGGTTTTTACTAAAATCACCTGTTATTGAATTTGTGATTTTCAAATCTCTTCTCAAATCCAATATTATTGAAATTGAGATTTCAATAAAATCACTCACAATCTCTTGTTATTCAAACTATAATTTCTAAACTTGATATCAAATCAACTGTTATTGAAAACACAACTTTGTTTTTTTTAAAAAGCCATAACATTGATTTTGGGAGACTTTGGATACAATTTTACATGAGAAATTCAATTAAAGAAATCACACCTTGAGAGGTGTTATTTGGAAAAAACTTTTTTTAACAAAATAAACATAAGAGAAGTTGTCCTTTCACTTTCTCATTCTCATCGTCAAAAGTCAAAACAAATCTGTCACCTTTTTTTTGTTCTTCACTTGCAGAAAAAAACAAAAGATTTCGATGGCAAATCAAATTCATTACCAACAAAATCTCTCTCAGTTTCAAGTTTTTAATTTGAAGTCCTAATACAAAAACATAAACTTTTTTATAACCACAACACACCATGATTTCTTTATCTTTTACCACAAACAACGTTGAACGTGTTTTGGAACGTGTTGCAGAGAGAATCCAATTTTTCTATTTTTTTGTAAAGCAACGTTGCAAAAAGATCCCAAATTTTCTAGACAATGTTGGAGATAAGTTTTTTTTGTAAATCCAGTTTTCCTATTTTTGTTTTAAAAATCTCACCAAATCATCCAATATTATCTCTTAAATCTCACCAAATAACAAACTAGTATTTCCTTTTCTAAAATAAAAATTCTAACAATTCCACCAAAAGTATCCTAAAAAATCACATAACTTTCTCAAAATCCAAAATTTCCTAAATTCCACCAAATCCACCCAAATCTTTAATTCAATACACCCCCCAAATCAGTCAAAAACATTCCTTTGCATCCTCTGGGTAAACCTATAGCTATCCAACAACAAGCCATCATTAACGCCGCAATGACTTGTGCACCTGATCAAAGCAAAGATTTTGCAGTGGCTGTCAAGTGTTTAGGACCTATGATCAATTTCAATAGGCCTGGTGGAAAACACAAGGACTCGGGTTCGGTCGTCTTTAAAACCCCTTTCCAATATTTTGATCAATCAAAAGTTATGTATTCAAAGAGAGATGAAAAGTTCTACACTCCTAGTTTTGGAGGCCACTTTTTGGTTTCTTGGGATTCTTTCTTTGAAGAGGATATGACCGGCTCTGAGTTGCTAGAGTTGCGGTTTTCCAACATTCCTGAATTGACCAAGTCCGAATGGGAACTCTTGGACTCATGTTCCAAGACTGTATACTTTGTGGAGTCTCCCTCAGGCCAACGTTTCCTAATCAAGTGGTACGCCCAGAACCACCAACCAGGCGATTCAATGACATTCCTGTGTCGCGGAACAAAGCGTTTCATGGTGTTTAGAGAGGAAGAAGATAAAAGGACCATGTGTTACACGGAGGACATTGGAGATCTTTGCATATTCCTAGGCAACAATGAGCCCTTTTGTGTCAAGGCAAGCTCATTCCCTGGCCTAAACCCTAACTCCATCTATTTTGCAGGTGATGGCTATGGTGTTTACGATATCGCCACTAGAAAACCACGTTCCTTCCGTCCCAAGTCTCCCTCAGCCTTCTCGTCAGCATCACTCCTCCCTTACTGGATCCCTCCAATGTCTCTCTAGTTAGTATAGTTACCTGTCCTTCACTAGTTATTGGGCTAAAGATCTTCATTTTTTTCATGTTGTTCTCTCGTGGCTTTTGATTTTTTAAGCTTAATAATGGTTCTTCCGGATTCAACTAAACCAGCTCTAATTAGCATCTTCGAATTAAGAGCTTTTCTTCCTCTATTTACTTCAGTTTCGAGCCCTTGGAAGCTTATCTTCGTATCTCTATGAAACAAGGTTTGGGTCTCATTAAAATACTAATTACTAGGTATGATTCGGTTCATGTTGGCGGTTAGACACCGGTTCATGTAATTGGTAGACTCATATATAAAGCGAATAGTAGACGGCCCATTTAGCGATTTGTCAATTATTGAAAAAAGGGTATTACCACAATCGGACTTCAGACGAATCCAAAATTAACTGACACATTTATGTACTATTGTAGCTTACGGTGCTGGTGTAAATTGACATAAATAACCTTACAAAATAATTGTGTAGATATTTGTGAAACCTCTCTCATCGTTGTTTTCTCCTTCGATTCTGGGCACTCCGACGCATCAATCGATCGTCACAAGCACCAACATCAAACTCGTCCCATCTCTGGCAAGCCACCATACCAACTCTTATCCACTAATCTTTGATGCCTCATATGAATTTGAAATCCAAAATCCTCAAAGTTGTTGGCAAAGTATCACTAGAACCAGATCTACAATGGCCAATCAAATTTTGTTGATCGGCAAAATCGAATATAATCCTCCATCTTCGGCATCTGCGGCGGTGTAAAAGCAAATCGCCACTGTAATTGTTTTGTAAGCTTTCTATAAAGTGAGAAAACTTATTATTTTCATTGTTATCAGGGTAACATTGTTATTAATTATTATTAGCAAATATTATATATGAGTTACACGTTAATATAAATATTACCCATATCGACTATCTTATCATGTTCATATAAATATTATTCAGATATTAAATATGTTAGCACGTTAACATTCTATATAACATGTTATTATAATTGTTATCATGTTCATGATGTAACAGAAAGACTAATTCTTTTTTATTGAACTGATATATACATAAATAAAAAGTACTGATTCATAAATTTAAATCGATAAACATGTAATTAACACATAATATGTAAATTTATCGTGATATCATATGTTTTAGCATGTTAACCAAATAGTTACACACTAAACAAACAAATGTTTAACTATATCATCTGATAAATAGTATTATCGGTCTTGTATGAACAGTGTCAGCAAGCGGTTCATGAACAGTGTAACCGGTGTATTACATTGGAAAATAATTTATTAGATCAATGGCATTTTGTGTAATTAAGTTAAATGGGAAGGATATTTATGGTTTACTTTTGTTTTCTCTTTCCTACATACTTGATTTTCAAATTATTAGACTCATATATAAAGCGAATAGTAGACGGCCCATTTAGCGATTTGTCAATTATTGAAAAAAATTCAGATTTGTCAATTATTGATTTGTGTGAGTTTAAAATTAGTTATAAAATCAGATTTATGCTACTTTGTGATGCATATTAATCTTATAATTTTCCCTCTTATAAATATGTGATATATAGAAAAACAAATTGTCTTTTTAATCGTTGCTAATCCCATTCATTTGGTACCAGTATCATACTTTTATCTTGTACGTAATATATAAGAGATATATAGTTTTCATGAATCTGATTTATATGACTCCAATGAATTATTGTTACGTATATGTTTTTTTAATACAGAATTATAGTGTAGTATCCAATAAGTTTTTTTCACTGTCTTTTTTTGTCACCTTTCTTTATTTGCTTGGTTACTTGAAACTTATATATTATTATCTTATGAAATTAAAAAAACCATCTTCATTCGCTATCAAGAGATGCCAGTGAGAAGCATACACCAATAGTGTCCTTTTCATTGACGTAGAGATAAAAGATAATACCATTCTTAGTCAATCGCTTGTGAAATTGCATATAATTTGTCATTACTTCCTTTTTTTAAAAGATTGCTATATATTTTCATGCCCCTTTTTATCGTCACAAAAACGGGTTCTATAAAAACTTTGTTTCCAAATGATGCAGCAAATTTTTTACAGTTAGAATAATTATATTGTGAGTATCCTAAAAAACTAATGACAAATTACTAAAAAATGAGTTCGTATTGCTTATTATATATATATTTTATTATTTATGCTTGATGAAAATTAATTTTCATCATTTATATAAGTACTCTGATTATGTAGATATTTTGCATCAATTGAAATATATATATATATATATCAAGTTAATATCTGCAATGATTATAATAAGTGATACTAAATATTAATATTAGTTGTAAATAATTGATGTTAGTAACTTAGTATCAATTAAAAATATTCAATTAATTTTTAATAATAAAAAAATTATTTTTTCAATAATTAATATGAAAACAAACTATTAAACTTGATTTGTGATAATATTTGCTTATTAAGCCATACACCTTTTCGATTGTGAATACAGTTGCTTCTTGTTTAAAAGTGTCAAAATTTTCCTATGTCAAAGACACATAATATACTAACTTAAAATTAAATAAATAAATTAGTGTAATATATGAGAAAGTGGTTACTTTTAAAAAAATATATCTAAATTCTTAACAATAAAGGCCTATGGATACAAAGAAATAAAATTTTGGAAAAATATGGATACAAACTACAAAGGCTTAAACGGGAAAAAAAGTTTTGATGGTGGAACTTTTTTTTTTTTTTTTTTTGGATAATAAAGAATCAAACTCTTATCTTTTAGTGGGGTCAAAGAGTAGTTTATCCATCTTTTCTAAGTTCTCCCAAACAGTAAAAATTATTTTTAGAAACTAAAATTTTATAATAGTTTATTAGTACAACATTTTTGCTCCCAATTAGATCACACCAACTTATTAGGAATTAAGGTGTGGTTGTCGGAAAAAGAAAAAAGTTATTAGTATCACATGATCTCACAAACCCTTCATTAGATATGTTGTTGCCATGGTTATAAATTTATAATGAACTAAGTGTTAAATGGATAATAGATCTATCCAACAAATTTAATGAATAGGTTAAGATCGATCCATAATCCTCTAATATAATTGGGGAAGAAAAATTACTTGTACTTTAAGTGAAACCAATAGAAAACAAAAGAAAAAATCTTTTTTTCCTTCTATCATATATAGTCATTCTCTAGAGAACTTTAATGTTACTTTGCTAGCAACCTGTCTATTAGTTTTTTGTTTTTTTGTTAAAAGGAAAACTGTCTATTAGTTTGTTTAATATTTCTGCAAGCGGATCTATAAAGCATACACTAATTTATCCACTTTCTTTTATTACTAAAATAAATGATAACTTTTCACAATATTAAGAATGATTTCATACGAAAAGAAAAAGCTTTGTAAAAAATATACTCCCTCCGTATCAAAATATAAGTCGTTTTAGGTAAAAGCACGCAGATTAAGAAGATCTACTTTTTAAAAGTTCAGCCAATCATAAAAGAGACTTTATAATATAAATAATCATAAAATATTTAAATAATATATAATTTGCATTGAAACTCGAAAATAACTTATATTGTGAAACAAAGTACTTTATCCAAAACGCTTTACATTATGAAACGGAGGGAGTATCTTTAATCACATGGCCAAGTCTAAATACTTTGGTGCAAATCCAAATCATGTCACGTTGTTTACATATCTGAGGTTTAAACAAGGGTTAATGCTGTGAAAATAAATCAGAACTTTAAAATTTTGCACATGTTTGTAATAAAATTACACGTTATTTATATGAAGATAAGCTATTCATATGTTATTTATTTAAAATACGTATGAGATTAACAATTACTCTCTTTACGAAGTTACTATCCTAATATTTACAAAAACATTAACTGAATTTGATTGTTTAGAAAAAAAACTTGAAATAACTCAGCAAAAGATAGTTTTGTTTTATGTTAGACATTTTCATCTCTACGTTTGTTTTGTGGCCCAAATAATAAATGGATAATGTAACATTAGTGGTTAGTGGTATTTTTAATTACACCAACTTTATCTTTATCAGTTGTCCCTATCAAACGAGAAGCACTTGCTTGCAGCGATATCTCTCTCATATCTGTCGCTTTCGAGTTTCATTAATATCGTCACCAGATAAATATATTTCTCACGATATCTCAAGCTTCTTTAACATTTTAAAATCTCTCCGATATGATAGGTAACATCTCGCGGAAATAGTAGTCCACGTCATTTTCACCCAAAAAGGCAAGCGGACGTCACCTCGCTCTGTTAAATCCAGCTGAATTTCATATCTCGATTCCGTGCGATTCCTACGGGCCAGAATCTGCTGTTTCACATTCAAAATTGAAACACATACAAGCTAAATATTTTTTTATTGAATCCAAAATATATATATATCTATATCTCAATAAAATTTCTTATAACTCCAAATACATAAATTATTTAAATGGCGAAAAATTACCTCGAATAATAACAGTTTCCTTTTCAATACTTCAACTTTCAAATTTCGAAAGTTTTAAATTCAGAGACATTATGAACTAAATAATTTGTTATTTTCGATTGTGGGATATAAATACGTGTTATAAAATTTAATAGTTTATTATAACTTACAAAATCTCTTGATTAAAATTATTTTTTATTAGATTTCCATTAATTTTTGGGTATTCCATCTCTAATAAATAATACATGTAAATAAAACAAGGGCAAAAAGCTATAAATCGTACGTTGATCTAGTTAATAACACATGTATACATTATTCAACCGATGTTAAATAGTAATCTACGTTAATCTTACAATTGGTGCAGACTTTGGAATTGAAGAATTAATTTGTTACTTTGAGATTTCTTTTATATAACATGACAATATTAAGGGATAGACTTTATAATATTTTTAATTATGATCTTGTTAAATTTCATATAGAAAATAAATAGAATTTTTATCTCAAAAAATAATTATAAGAATTTATTTTATTATTTTTCTCTCAATTTTTTTAATTTAGTTTTGATTTTACTTAAATGCACCTTTTAATTTAAATATTGAAAAATTTATTATTTTACATAAAATAATTATAATTTTCATTAGAAATAGAAAAATGGTATATTTCAAAGGAAAACTAAAAAGTAGGGTAGTTTTCAAAAAGACCCTAAATAAATTCGGTCCATTGCAGCTTCGGTGTGCTGAGCTGTACTGGAAAAACGCCAAAAGCGGAGCGGTTCCGACAAACGAGGCTATCACCTCAATTTGATAAGAAGATCTACTTATCATAAATAACCTAACTAGCTTATCAAATCACAGTCGGTGTTATAAAAACCCTGCAAAACGC